CAGAAATTGTTTCAGCTGCACAATTGTCTCCTATATTAAGGGAGTGTGGTTCCCTATTTATTTGACAGGATTCAGTGATGGCTCATTAGCTCAGGTCACCTGATTTTGTGGGCTTCCCCATTGTGGTCTTAACTCCTTTGTCCATATTATTGCACTTCCCTCCCTTTGATTGTACTCCGGGAGCTTTGACCATTGGTTGGTTATGGATTTCTGCATCTTCTCCCATCTGCTTCTGGAAGAGGGTCATAGCTTCTATGTGGCTGGGATTGTAGGCTGTGTATCTACTGCTTTGTGTCTGGTATCCATTTTTGAATGAGTACATACTATATCTGTCTTTCTGGGCCTGAATTGCCTAACTCAGGATGGTTTTGTTCTAGTTCTGTGCATTTGTCTGCAAATTTTGGGATGCCTTAATTTCTTATCACTGAGTAGTACTGCAAGTGTAAAAATACTACAAGTTCTTTATCCATTCTTCGGTTGAAGGGCAAGTTGGATGTTTCCAAATACTGGCTTTTACAAATACTGTTACTATTAACATAGTTGCCACTCCTATATTTTTAAGGCAGCAGTTCATTGCTAACCTTCTTTTAACAGTTGGGTCCCTGAGTTCCTGGTTTCTGATTACCAAGCCTACACTGCTCAAGTTCCCTTTTCCACCCACGAGATTGGATACCAACATTCCCAGAGTTAGCACATGTCAGATTGTTGTAGCACAGGGTCAGCACCTCCTTCTAGTTCCGTTGAGACTGTGGGATGTAGAGGAAGCAAACACTGATAGAAACAGCTTCATACCGAACCTCCTCATCCATCCTCAACTCCCAAGTCCTCCCCATCTGTATATAACACCTTGCTGTCTTTGGAAAACAAACATGCTTCTAGTGAATAAAATAATTAAATTAAAATGAGTTCAAAGAAACCTAACACATTGGAACAGGAGAAAACAAACAAAAAAACTGACTACAAGGAGACAAGGAAAAGGCACAAGAAACAGGTGTGGATGTAGAGACCTCCTGATTTTCCCACACAGGAATCCCATACAAACACAAGATCAGAAGCTGTACTATATAGGAAAAGGAAATATAGGATAAAATAAGAGATAAATAAATGAATGTATAAAATGGCAATAAGCCATGAGCTATCATGAGACAGGGAACCTCTCAAATGCATTTGAATGGATTCCACGGGACGTCTGCTGATGACCTCAGCCTGTGCTTAGGAGTTTTTGGTTCCTTGGTTAGACTCCCTTAGAGAATCTCATTTCTCATTTGAAAAATGATTTGGGGTAGCTTCTAGGTTAAGGATGGGACCACATGTACACTTCTCCTTTGTACTCTAGATCCCCATCTGCTGTCAACCCACTCAGGTCCTAGTTTCCCAATAGAAACATTTAGTCCACTATGAGATAAACTGTCTTCTTGGTCACTGAGAGAGTATTTGAAATAGGTCATTTCTGTTATTGTAGCATTCCCAGGAGGGTATCATAGATTCTATGAACTAACTGATCTTGTATTCATGTAGACGAGTGTTGTAACTGCCATAGAAGATGGCCTCTTGGGTCTTGTATGTGCTTAACTGAGAGGAATAAACTCTGAGTAGAGTCAGGAAACACCCTTGGTGGACCATCTGCACTTACTCCCCAGGTTCTGCTTAACTCATTTATTTTGGTTTCCCTTAACGCTGCCTCATGACAAATATGTTTATCAATGTCGTGATCATAAAAACTCTATTGGACTGTGTCCTTCTGTGTTAACTTCGACATAAAATGGTCTCGAATTGATGATTCTCCCCGCCCCTTGTAGGGATTACTCTGAAATGTTTGTAGACAGATTTATTCTCTTTCGGTAATTATGTACAGTTCAGCAAAGTTGTCTGAGGAATCATGTGTGATGGTGAGTTATCAGAGCAGCCACTAGATGGAGTTCCGTGGAAATGGAAGCTTTATCTATGCTCGAGAAGTCCTCTCTGTCCCTATAAAGTGAGACCTATGAACCTTGCATGGGTCCAGCAAGTTTACATCTGACAATAACCCAACATTTATACCACTCTTAGTCGGTGTGTTGATGGTTCCCCAAAACTCACAAATAATGAAATGAGTCTTTCCTTTCTATCCTGACTCTGTGGCTTGTATTTGAATAAGAGATTTCATGAGAGTGTTGACACATTATTTTGCACAGACAAGAGTGAGAGGGCACTGAACTTGGAGGAAAGGAAATTCTGTCCACCTTTACTTGGGCAGGCCCAGAGGATAAGGAAGGATAATGTCAAACCGTGAAAATAAATTCCCAGAGAAAAATAAATGTGCTGTCAAGACAGTTCAATCAACTCTCAGATGGGAAACAAGCGGGATATCTCCTCACAGGGTCTTGCTTATACAATCTATTGGTGTTTGATCTGAGTTAAAATAAATAGATCAGTTTAATCCTAAGAATTCCACTGTCCACTGTTGTGCTGATATATTATTTATGATCTAATAAAGCCACTGGAGATGAGTTTGTAAAGCCAGCATCGCTAGTTAACTATTGAAACTAGACTGTGGTGGCCCAAACCTTTAATCCCAGGACTCAGGATTTAGAGGTAGACACAGTTCTGAGTACAAGACAACCCTGGGCAACAGGAATGTAAATCAGAACTCTTGCCTTTAATCCAGGGTTTGAGAGTTATTTATAGTAAGGGAATTCAGTCTGAGGATTTTTCTCAAGCCATATTGAGGAGAGCATAGCAGTCTGAGTGAATCTGAGGAGCAGTGAATTTTACAGCAGTCCATATCACCCCTTTGGTCACAGCATAGCTAGAGATACAAGCTATAGGATGGATTCTTTGCTACTCTGATCTTCATCTTGAAGCTTAAACCCTAACATCAGTCTCAGGGTATTTTATTTTTTATGTTACACTTTGGTTTGTTTTCTTTTTTCATTTTCTATTTTATTATTGTTTTAATTAAAATAGTCAGATTGAAGCCATGCTACCAATGGCAGTTATATTCCTGTTTCTGACATTCAGCCTTTGTACAGCCATGATGTATGTGTTTTCTCCTGATTAAAAACTAAACAAAACAAAAATACACAAATATTATGAGTAGTTTTTCCCGCCATCTTGGTCACAGAGCCACATCAGCCCCAAATAACACACAGAGACGCTGTATTAGTTATAATCTTTGTTGGCCTGTTACTAGCGTTTTTTATTGGCTAACTCTGTCTTAAATACTAACCCATTTCTATCAATCTGAGCATCTCCACTTGGTTTTATCTTACCAGAGAGAGGGTCTGAACCTTCTTCTCAAGTCCCTACATCTTGAAGCTCCTCTGCTACATCTCCCAGAATCCTCCTGGTCTCCTAGTCCCATCTATCTTGCCTTCCTATTTGCCAACAGTGTTTTATTCATTAACCAATAAGAGAAACATTTATACAGAATGACATCTCCCATCACACAAAGGCAGAAAATTTTGGATACAGATATGTCAAAGTCATAACAGGGCCAGGAATCACCAGAAGTCCTAATTTGGCTTTCTTGCTTCTAACAACAACAAAAAACAATGTATTGTTGTGTATATATGTATGTAGGGGAGCATTTTGCACCTTATACTGATGTCCATTCAATGTCAGTCAATGTCAATCTAGAACTTGTTACAAAAAACAATCCAGCTTCAGGAAACAGGGCATTGAGCATGCAGGTCTCCTGATAATGTGAAATGGTCTCTTACATTCCCAGTTTGGACTCCAAATGCTCTGTGCCAAATGTTATCTGAGAAGCAGCCCTCAATGTTGCCAAATTCAGAATAATGTGTTGACAGAGCTTGTTTTTGTGATTTTTTCATTAAAGAAGCATGTCATGGAGGAGGTCACTGACATAGCCTTGGTCAAGGTATATTTATTGTAGGGACCATCCTGAGTCTGCATAACTCATTTTCTGATGTCCTTTGGAAACACTGACAAACACCCTATAGCACTGTGAAGTAACAGAAAAAGGGAGACTAGGAATTATTTCTAAGCAAGAATCCAGGCTGACCTTCCATCATCCATGAAGGTTAAGTATTATACAGAAGTCATGGTCATAAATCTACTCTTATAGGAAGCAAGATAGGATTTATAACTCCCAAACTAGAGATTGGGATGTTTACCAGCCAAGTATGAAATCATATATCATACCACAAACTGATCATTAGCTTCTCTATACCCACACGTTTCCTTCATCCAGAGCTGTGATTCAAGAGTGTGTGGGAGGGAGAACAATGATTAGAATGTAAAATGAAATTAAAAAGTAAAACTTTTAAAACAGAAAAAAAAAAGAATGCCTCTACCGAATAATCATCACTTTTACTACTGAAGACAATCTCATCGTCTGTCTACAGGTGCCACACAGAAACCATCATCGCCAATTCAAAACCAGGAAATCTCTCAAAGGGGTTCTTCATGGCCTTCATGGTCATTATATTGAACTTTAACTGTCTCTCACGAGCAGTAACATATGCCTGCATCCTCCTTGCAAACGTAATACAGCTGTAGGGAAAATAGCTCTTGTTTTTTTCTGGAGATACTGTACATGTGTCTGAGATTGATTTTAAGTTGTGTCTTTGTTATTATTTATATTCCTCACAATGCCATGGTCTTCCCTTGGGGCAGAGGGATCTAGTTCTAGCACTGACCCACTGGTATAACAGAATCACTACAAAGAATTACAACATACTAAATCACTGCTTTTAGGAAAAGTAAACATTTGTTCTTGTTAGACCATCATGTTTTGCAGGGAATCTTGGAGTTGATCTGGTCTATATGTTTTGAAAGGCACAAGTCAGAGGTTTGCAAGTTAGAACCCTTGGGTCCTGGTGTTTTGTGTACTTTCCAGTTCCTGATAAACCAATCCATTGCCTCAGTCAGTGAAGCTTCAAATTCTTTCCCTGCTCTGAGATTGAGATCCTGGGCTTGGTAGGGGCTGAGCGCCCCCTACAGGAACAGAGCTTCTCTGAAGGGAGGTTTATGTCTAGATTCATGCTGAAGTCAACTCACTGTGTGTCTCCTGCACAGTAATAAGTGGCTGTGTCCTCAGTGGTCACAGAGTTCAGCTGCAGGAAGAACTGGTTCTTGGATGTTTCTCTCGTGATGGAGATGGGGCTCCTTATGGATGGGTTGTAGGCAGCTTCTCCACTGTGGGTAATGTAACCCATCCACTCCAGCTTCTTCCCTGGGGACTGCCTGATCCAGATCCAGTAGTAACCACTGGTGATGGAGTAACCAGTAACAGAGCAGGTGAGGAAGATTGACTGTGAGGTCTTCACCAGACTAGGTCCTGACTCCTGAAGCTGGATCTGGGACAGAATTTCTTCAAACGAGAAGAGTCAATTCTGTCAATCACAAGTTGTCACACACACTCATGGACACATGGATGAAATGGTCACCACACTCACCAGGAAAGGATGTCGCCAGGTACAGAAGACCCAACAGTCTCATCTTCTAGGCTACACCACTTTTTCTCAGAGGTCAGCCTCCTGTGGGAAAGATTTGAGCTTTCAAAGCTCATGAGGGGATTTAACTTAGAGTTAGAAGATGAATTTGCATGTGGGAAGCCAGCCCTCTCCTTACAAATGTTGAGGGTGGATACTGACACCCTTTGATTATTATATTGTGGTCATCACAGACTTTGCTTTCTGTGGTCTGAGTCTGGAAGAAGAGAACATGAATACTTCAGCCATCACAGGAAACACATCTCTCCATACCTCCACTTCCTAGCTCAACCTCCCCCTCCCATACAATCCACTGCTACTGTATGTATATATATGGTTCAGGTCGGTGCCAAATTTGTTCTCACACTTTGGTTCCTAAGTTCTAGCTTTCTGAGTAGTAAGTCAACAGTCTGATTTTCTTCCTTTCTCCCACGAGTGAGATGGGTTTCCATCTTTCCTAAAAGTTGATACCATGCCATGTTTTTGTTATACATAGTCCACATTAATAATGTAGAAGAAGCACACACTGAGAGAACCAGATGGGCCCTCTGCATCCCATGCCATCTTCCTCAATGACCTCATTCATTTTTCACACACTGTCCTGGCTCAGAGCCCTCCCTCGGTAGACATGTGACAATACTACAGTAGCAGATCCGTGGCAGACAAAATGCAAAGGCTAACAATGAAGACCCTGAGGAGACCCTGGGTAGACCCTTCATATTCAGACCTCTGCATACATGAAAGCTCCTCTTGTACTGTGCAACTAATATCTGGATTTTTCCACCATATGAATCCTTCTCTCATTTCTTGTCATCTTAATATTTTTACCTTAAGTCAAGTCTAATGATGTTTCATGTGACTCCAGGTATCAATTATGCTCGCTGGGAATTCAATTCTCATGGTAGGGTATAGGATTACAACAGGAAGTTTGGAGACTATGTCCCACAAAGTGAGACAACAGTTTCATTGCCAGAAAAGGGATCATCAATGCTTTTATCAACAATGTGAAATCTCAAGACAACAACATCCTTGTCAGAAATATGATGGGCTATATTGTGTCTTGATGGAATCACTAACTAGTTAAATGAAACAACTTCAATGGCTCTAACAAGCTCAAAGAAAAGAAGCCTAGTTAGTTGTGATGACTGTTTATGTGAAGAAATATCATGACAATAAAAAAGTTGGAGAGTAAAGGATTTATTCAGCTTATAATGTCATATCAAAATTTATCTTCAAAAGAAGTCAGAACAGCAATACCAGCAGTGCAGGAACCTGAAGGTAGGAGAAGATGGAGAAGTTATGATAGAGAACTACTTACTAGCTTGACTCAACTCCATAATGTCTGTGATATAGTCTTGATTTCCTGAACTTCTCCAAGGGCTTGGGGCACTTCCCTGGATTAACAATCTGTAATACACATAGCAAGTTTTCTAGGCTTCATCAGAAAGAATATTTAATAATCAGATGAATAAATATGAATAGTCCAGCATATCTTTTTCCAAAGATAATTTTGTTTAATCTAAAAAAAATAAAGCCACACAAAATAATTTGTACAGTGAAGAAACAGATCAAAACCAGATTTTTCATCCTGCTCGGACCAATGCTCACCTTGAGCCCTCTGCCTCCAGGGAACTTCCTGGGTCTACTCTGGGCACATGGGACCCACCTATCCACAGGGGCCACCTTGAGGCCACTCTTGGAATCTAGTTGTAGAGAGGAAAGAGTGATGAGTAATGGAATCAAGACCATGCTGGAGAAACCCACAGAAACAGCTGACCAGAACAAGGCAGAGCTCATGGACCACCAGAATGATAGCTAAGAAACCACCATTGTACCGACTCAAACCCTCTGAACGTTGGTCTAAGTTAGAAGGCCTGGGCAGTAATGGGAACTCTGACAGTGGAACCAGGATGTATCCCTGGTGCACAAACAGACTTTGGGAGCAAATTCCCCATGGAGGGATACACCCATAGCCTAAAGACACGGGGGAGGGCCAAGGCCCTACCACAAATGATAAGAGAGATATTGTTGATCCTTCCTGAAAGTCTCTACCCCCTAGGCAGTGGATAGAAAATGGTTTTGGGGGGAGGGGTGGTCATCCAAATGAATAAAGCTGATTGTGGGTAGAAATGGAGTAAACCATGAAGTACCACTGGTTCTAGTATAAAATACATTACAAAATTATTTTTTCCTTCTGAAACTTATTTTCAGAAAGGAAATGGAATACCACTAAAAGAAAATTTAAAAACTTTATAGTGAAATCAGAGAAGGAGACTTATTAGAAGAGTTTAGATATCTGATGAGATGAATCAGCAGTTATACAAATGTAAGGATTTCCAAAGGACATGAATTTGAATTCTAGGTAGTCCATAGAGTAGCTCATAACCACCTATATTTCTGTACCCATGAGAAGTCAACCTCTTTGGCCTAGTTGGGCACTACAATCTTGTTCATGTGTGTGTCCACACAAGGACAAGCACACATAATTAGAATTATAAGTATGTAAAAACAGAAGAGGTTAATAATGAGTCAACTTAAATGAAAAATCTCACACTAAAATATGAAACATGGATTCAATTCTTGAAGTGTTGTAACAGACAATTAATGTGAAGAAATTGTAGCATAGACCATATGTTCAGAATAATTTGAAATCTCAAGACAAGCCCTTGCTCATTTTAGACTCATTGTTGCTATGTTCTAATCCAAACTTACCAAGACTGCTGGACATTACAGGAATCTGAATCTACCTACTTCCTACCTTTGGTGGCTGAAATGAGATACAAAGAGCAACAGTACATTGACTGTTAGATACATATGGTGTCTGGAGCTATCAGAAGCAGAGCTATGAACAGGCAGCTGACCTGGGAGAGATACTAGGGATGACTCACATCTGACTTAAAGGAAAGCAGTATTGTTTGTATGGGAATGGTGGTCTGGGCTGATACTATGGATTAACGACAGGCAATTATAAGATGGTGTAAAACAAAACCATTGGGTGTGTGACAGGAAACAAAAGAGTTAAGGACCAGAGTGCAGTGCTCATAAACCAGACACTTGTACTGCACACTCCATGCTCTGGAATCCCAAATGTATTGTCAAAGGAAGTCAACAACTGCCAGCTTCAAGTTCCTCCAGTTTCTTCTTGCATAACTGGATGGGAGAGGAAGCCAGGGCTCACAGGAAATGATCTCTGGACTTCTGTGCACTTGCTGAAGTATATGATTGAAATCATGGTGATTTGGCACCCCCTGATGAGTCTCGGGGTATGAAAATATGATGTATGAGATAATCCTTTTCGTTTTTAATCTCCTTGAATTCAACTACACTATACCATAGAAGTCACTATGTGCATGGTGCATGTTAAGAATACAACATGGCATTTTATGGAAATAGCACAAATGTTCAGTCATTCAACCATTGATTGTTTCTGGAGTAGAGTGTCATAGATTGTAAGGCAATGACTGTGTAAAACTTCTTGTAGGAACCAGAAACTTTGTTATTTTAGGAATCACAACAATGATGCAAACTGATGGTCCAAATGCATACTAACTCTTTTGTTTTGGAACTTGACACTGTTTCTTCAAGGCCACTTAGTACTTTTCCCTTTCGTTCTCTCTCTCTCTGTCTCTCTGTCTCTCTCTGTCCCTGTCTGTGTGCTCTTTTAAAAATCAGTGGCTGTGTATAGTTGTGTAAACACATCAGTATGCTTGTGTGTTTACACTCATATAGAGGCTAGTGGTAGTACTTGGGTGTCTTTCACCTACTTCCTTATAAACTGTCTTGAACATAAGGTTCTTTAACTAGCTCCAATTACAAATCTGACTGCCCCCTAGTGTTGGAATCATAGTTACCCACACTTACTCATAGCTTTCAACATCTGAAGGGATCGGTTTAAAGAAATTTCAACAATGGACAATGCTGAGGTGATGGAGTAATGAACTGAATTGGCTAAAAAGCCAGGTGGGTCACATCTGAACTGAACTGCAGTTAGCAAGTCTTAGCTCTAGACAAAGGATTATAGGCAACTAAGGAGCCCAGAGCAGAACAAATAGTCTTCAAGAGATAAGAGTGTACCTGCCATGGACCACACAAACTTGGTATGGGGGTTCCTAGGACATGGGATTTCGAAGACTAGGTGGGTAAGGATTTGGCAGTGACAAACAGAAACACAAAGGCAGTTTGAATCTGAGTGTATTTTGTACCTTTCAAACAAGGCTTTTTATCCAGGATAAATATTAGCTTCTCAGAGATATTGTTCACTGAAGCAACTCCAGATACAACAAATGACATCATCGGGGTTAGGCAGAGTAACATAAAACTTATTCAAGGCTAACAATAAATCAGAAAAGCATTCAAGGCTAACAACAACTAACTGCCCATTTTCTAAGATCAAGTTAATATTTTTTTATGGTCAGCTATTATTTAGCATTTGTTGCCTAGCTCTTGTGAGTCTTTGAAATATTGAACTATTTTGACTTTATCTTATCAAAAGTCTTTCTTTACCAAAAGTTTAAACCTACTCTCAATTACACATGTACAGCCAAATTAAGTTTTATTGTTGGGAAATTTTCGTCAATACTATTTGTACTTATGTGAATGATGTGAATGATTTAAAAAGTGTTGGTTTTCCTAGAGACCAGTTCATGGTCAGTGACCACATCTCAGGGGTCAGTTTCCCATTTGTATCTTTTGTTTAAAACATCAGCATAGGCTTTTAGGAATATTTTGTTATTGTGAGAAAAGAACAGAAGTGCAGAGATCGCAATGAGAACTACAGCTCAATACTTTTCTCCAGCCAAGAGTTCCAGAACCGGTTCCAGAGAACTCCTCCTTTTGAAGTCATCGCCTCAGTCTGTGGAATGTGTCACACAGAATCTGCTATATTTGGTGTGGCATATACCTGTAAATTTTCTGATATCATGTAGCACACAGAAAACACACTACATGGACACAGTCCTGTGAAGCTTCATGTTCATACATGTTCATACCCTTCACAGTGCAGCCTGGCTGT